ATGAAAATAAACCTTGGCTTCTGTACCCAGCTAAGCATATTTCAAGTATAAGCATTAAGTAGAGAAAACCTCTTTTCTTTTTATTTTTTTGAGACAGAGTCTCACTTATGTCACCCTTGGTAGAGTGCTGTGGCGTGCTGTCATGTCACAGCTCACAGCAACCTCAGACTCTTGGGCTTAAGCAATTCTCTTGCCTCAGCCTCCCAAGTAGCTAGGACTACAGACGCCTGCCACAATGCCTGGCTATTTTTTTTGTTGTAGTTGTCATTGTTGTTCAGCATGCCTGGCACAGTGTCTCATACGTGTAATACTAGCACTTTGGGAGGGCAAGGTAGGAGGGTCACTTAAGGTTGGGGGTTTGAGGCTACCCTGAGCAAGAGCAAGACCCTGTCTCTACAAAAGGCAAGAGAATTCCTTGAGCCCAGGAGTTTGAGGTTGCTTTGAGCTATGATGACACCATAACACCCTAGCCAGGGCCCCCACCACAAATGCCTCCCTCCCAGCTACTAGGGAGGCTGAAACAAGATAATTGCTTGAGCCCAAGAGTTGGAGGTTGCTGTGAGCTGTGATGCTACGGCACTGTACCAGGGATGACATAGTGAGACTCTGTCTCAAAAAAAAAAAAAGTAAAGGAGAAGAGTGCTGACCTGCTGCTGCCCTCAGTGACAGCTGACGTCTGCACCAGCACTTTCCCTTGCTGGCAGCCCTGGGCCCAGTGCCAAATAGGACTGTGTGCTGGGAGGGTCCCTCTGGGATTCTGCCTCCCTGCAGACTAAGGCACAAGGGGAGACATGAGGCTGGACTGGAACTGTCCCACCTTGATGTTCCCTGCACTGTGTGGAGCTTGGGGGTGAAGGGGTTTAGGAGGTAGAGAATGGTTCCGTCACAATCTTCTGCAGCTGGCTTGCGCCTGGGCTTCTTCCACCTCCATGCCACTGTGTACCATCAGGGAACACTGCCTGGCACAAAGCAGGTGTCTAAAAAGTGTTTGTTGAATTGACCCATGTCATTTATCAGCACTTCTGTGGGCTCTTGGGTGGATATGAAAATAGTTACGTGGTGAATTAGTGTCTGCTGCTATATGTCCTGTCCTCTGCCTCTGCCAGAGCTCTAGCCAACATTCCCTGGGAAAGCTGGCTCGTTTGCAGGAGGCTGACAGTGGGATTTTTAGGATTTGGGCTTAATTTCAGATAAACAGGACAACCTAGGCTCTGCTCCAGTGAGAAATGGATTCTGCTGTCTTTTCTTGCTTTTTAAACATTTCAAGCCAAGTTCTTACACCCATGCACCCATATAAAACTTTCTTGTTCAGAAAGTCATCTGAGCAACTGGCAAAAGCACCATCTCAGAGTTTTCTATTTTTATCCTGTGTGTGTACTCAATGGGAACACATTGTGAAGGAAATGGAAAATTATGAATTGATAAAAGCAAACTATTGATATTTGTTCTTTTTCCTGGACAAGCTAATGAATAAACAGGTACCTAATGCAGAAATATAATGGTCATTTTATGATTCAGGTGTTTTTTTTTTTTTTGAGATAAAGTCTTAGTTTGTCCCTCTCGGTAGGGTGCCTTGGCATCACAGCTCACAGCAGCCTCAAATCTTGGGCTTAAGCGATTCTCTTGCCTCAGCCTCCCAAGTAGCTGGGACTACAGGCGCCCGCCACAACTCCTTTCTATATTTTGTTGCAATTGTCATTGTTGGTTTAGCTGGCCCAGGCTGGTTTTGAACCCACCAACTTCGGTGTATGTGGTTGGTGTATGTGGCTAGTGCTGTAACCACTATGCTATGGGCACTGAGCTGATTCAGGGATTTTCAAAAATTCATTTATTTTCTAAGCAAGGTAAGAGGATATCTTGTAGATTTGCATTTTACTGATGATTAGTGATATTGAGCATTTCTTCATAGACCTGTTGACCTCTTTTCTTTTGAGAAGTATCTATTCACATCCTTTGCCTACTTTTTAATGAGATTACTTGTATTGGGGGGTGTTTATTTGTTTGTTCCTTTTTGTTGTTGTTGTTCCTTATTTTCTCTTACCTGATTGCTCTGGCTAATAGGGGTGTCCAACCTTCTGGCTTCTCTGTACCACATTAAAAGAAGAGTTGTCTAGGGCTACACATTAAATACACAAACACCAATGAAAACTGATTAGCAAAAAAAAGTGTCTGTGCATAATTGTTGTGATATACACCACCACTGTTAAGCAAGACTCCTCACATAATCCACTGCAGGTTGGACACACCTGGGAGTCTTGTAGTAGTATGCTGAATAGGAATGGTGAAGTAGGCATCCTTGTCTTGTTCTAGTTCTTAGAGGAAAGGCTTTCAGTTTTTTTCAATTCAGTATGATGTTAGCTGTGGGTCTGTCATATATAGCTTCTATTACATTGAGGCATATTCCTTGTATGCCTAGTTTGTAGAGAGTTTTTACCATGAAGGTTGCTGAATTTTATCAAATTTGAAAAATGCTTTTTCTGCAGCTATTGAGATGATCATATGGGTTTTGTCCCTCATTCTGCTGATGTAATGTATCATGTTTATTGATTCGTGTCTGTTGAACCATCTTTGCATCCCTGGGATATCTCATTTCATCCCGGAGTATTATCTTTTTGATGTGCTACTGGACTCAATTTGCTAAAATGTTATTGACAATTTTTGCATCTATGTTCATCAAGGATATTGGCCTGTAGTTTTTTGTTGTTGTTGCATCTTTGTCTGGCTTTGGTATCATAATAATGCTGACCTTGTAGAATGAGCTTGGAAGACTTCTTTCTTTTTCATTTTTTTGAACAGTTTGAGAAAAATTGGTGTTGATTCTTCTTTGAATGTTGTTAGAATTTGGAAGTGAAGCTATCCAACCGTGGACTTTTCTTTTTGGGGAGATATTTTGTACAGATTTGATCACATGACTTGTTATCAGTTTGCTGAAGTTTTCTATTTCTTCCTGATTCAATCTTGGTAAGTTGTATGTGCCCAGGAATTTATCCATTTCCTCTAGGATTTCCTGTTTGTTAGTATATAAGTTTCATAATAATCTCTGACAATCTTTTGTATTTCTGTGCTAACAGTTGTAATGTCTCCTTTTCCATTTCTGATTTTATTTTATTTTATTGTATAAAAAGATTTATTGGAATTTATCAGTAATAAATAGGCATAAAACTTAAAGTTTGGCTCTTCTGAGGGACAGGAGAAAAACTGGTGCGGGTATTCTTTTATACAGATGAAACATGGGTAGGAGATAACACATCACTTCTAAAGCAATCCAGAAGAGGGACATGAAAGCAAACCTGTACATTCACTAGAATTTGCAGTCATTTCAGATTTCCATTAGGTAAGAAAATACAATTTTCCATTAGTTTTTCCGTGCTCAGGTATATGGAAAAAAAACAACCCAGCTGACATGCAGCAATCAATTCTGATTTTACTTATTTAGATCTTCTCTCTTTTTTCTTGGTTTGTCTGGTTAGTAGTTTATTGATTTTTATTTATCTTTTCAAAAAAGCAACTTTTGTTGGCCCGGTTTGGTTGCTCACACCTGTAATCCTAGCACTCTGGGTGGTGGAGGCGGGTGGATTGCCTGAGCTCATAGGTTCAAGACAAGCCTGAGCCAGAGCGAGACCCCCATCTCTAAAAATAGCCAGGCGTCGTGGTGGGCGCCTGTAGTCCCAGCTACTTGAGAGGCTGAGGCAAGAGAATCACTTAAGCCCTAGAGTTTGAGGTTGCTGGGAGCTGTGATGCCATGGCACTCTACCAAGGGCGACAAAGTGAGACTCCGTCTCAAGAAAAAACAAAACAAAACACTTTTGTTTCATCAATCTTTTATGTATTTTATATACATATAATTTTTTTTTAGACTCTATTCCTTTTAGCTCTACTTTGATCATCACTGTTTCTTTCCTTCTGATTTTGGGTCTGATTTGTTCTTGCTTTTCTAGTTCCTTGGGGTGTATCTTTACACTGTTTATTTCAAATCTATTTTTTTGATGGAAGTGTTTATTGCTATAAACTTCACTCTTAGCACTGCTTATGCTGTGTCCCATAGATTTTGGTATGTTGTGTTTCAATTCCATTTGTTTTAAGAAATTTTTTGGTGAGATGATGGCAATGATCTTTTAGGACTGACCTGAAATGAAGAGAAAACTAAAACAGCTTAAGAAAAGCAAATATATATATATTTTTCTTTTAAATTTTTCTTATGATATTTTACATTCCTATGTTGTTAAGTCTATTGAGTTTTACTTTGTGATTCGTCTTTGTTTTCTTTTCTTTTTAATTAAGAGACAAACTCTCACTGTGTCACCCAGGCTGACATGCAGTGGTACAACAGTAGCTCACAATAACCTTGGACTCCCGGGATCAAGCAATCCTCCTGCCTCAGTCTTCCAGGCAGCTGGGATTACAGGCTCCATCCATCACGCGGGCTCATCTTTTTAATTTTAGTTAATAGCCCAGTAATAACAAAAATACATCCTACATGTTTATAATACCTCACTGTTTGCATATACTATTTTAAGTCTTTGCAGAGGAACAGTTTAGTACCAGATTCATTTGCAAATAAGTTATTTTACATAACTTTACATTCTTTATGTAACATTTTTTGAAGCTTATAATGTTCTTTCTCAGCAAGCTGTGTTTGTATCCATATGGAATTGACTTAAGTGTATGAAACAAACAAAATAAAATGGAAAACTATAGCATCCTTAAAGGTCATATTATATGCCTATATTTGGTGACATTCAAAGAGATCAATGACACTATTGAGAGGCAAAGAGAATTACAATGCATCAAATAAAGAACATGCCACTTATATAAAATTAAACATGTATGGTCATATAAAAATGTTGGTAGAGTTCTTACCAAAATTCTGTCAGTACTTATTTCTGGGTCCTAATATTTCAGGTGATTTATGCTTTTCTGATTTGTTAAAGTATTTTACAATAAGGATGTATCTTTTTTTTTTTTTTTTTGAGACAGAGCCTCAAGCTGTCTCCCTGGGTAGAGTGCCGTGGCATTACAGCTCACAGCAACCTCCAACTCCTGGGCTCAAGCGAGTCTCCTGCCTCCACCTCCCAAATAGCTGGGACCACAGGCGCCTGCCACAACGCCTGGCTATTTTTTGGTTGCAGCCATCATTGTTGTTTGGCGGGTCCGGGCTGGGGATTCGAACCCGCCACCTTAGGTGTACGTGGCTGGTGCCTTAGCTGGTTGAGCTATAGGCACCGAGCCAGGATGTATCATTTGTACTAAAACAACCAAATTACTTTTTAAAGCATGAACAAATTTTTTTTGTTGTTTTTTTACCTACAGAGGTACAATAGTATTTAACTATATATTTTTCTGGTCTTTAATTAAAAGTTTATACAGAGAGAAACATGAATAATATTTTCCTTAGCATTTAAACAATTTCTGAGAGATACTTATATTTCTGTACATGGGTTAAATATACACACGAGAGCACATGTATTGCGAATAAGATGAAGTCAGTCAGCCTAGGGCCAAGACCACACAGCTGGTCGGGTGGGTTTAGTGACCTTTACCCCATGTCTCCCAATCTTGTTGTTTTGTAAAGTCAGTTTTAACCTGAAGGTGTATATTTGAGCAGTTTAGGGCGATTGATTTGGGAGATTAACTTTTGAATTAGAAATGTTGTTTTGGGTTATGGGTTATGTCAATTATTGTTTATTAGGGCTCACTGGGTTATGGCAATTACTGCTATTTAAGATAAGTGTTAATTATTGTTGTTTAAGGTAAGTGTTTAATTACTGTTGTTTAAGATAAGGGTTAGTGATTGGTGGGATCACGCCTATGGTTCATCCTATAAGGGTACATGTAAATCTCTCTAAATGTAGACTATAAATGTCTTAACACAATAACTAAGAAAAAGACATGAAGGCTATGTTAACCAGTTGGATGAAAGTATTTCAAATTGTGTACAGAAACAGTACACTGTATCCCATGATAGTATTAATGTACCCTGCTACGATTTAATTAAAAAAAAAAAAAGATAAGGATTAGTTGGTTCTTCTTTTAACTTTTATGTATAGAACTGTGACTTTGGAAATGGAAGAATAGAACAGGTTTAGAGAGGCTACTCTCACTGTTATCTAGAATTTCTGGCCTTCTGACAAAGTTTGGTGAACCTATCTCCATCTCTGCATGTTGGCTGACAGTGCAGGCAGCCAGACCCTCTTTGGTAACACACCATCAAGAAATATATTTTCTTGCTGTGGACATGACAATTAAAAAAACTTCCCACTAGGTTTTGCACTCAGCCTACTAGGGACATTTTATTAACCCTTTATTAGACTGTTGTTTTCCTCCATTGCCTGGGTGTGAGCACTGTCTAAGTGGAAACACAAAACAAGCAACTGTGATTGTCTGATAGATTTTAGGGTAGACACAGTGCGTGCCTGGATCTCTTGTGCTTCGCAGAAGAGATTTGTCTAGCTAAATCTCACTGTAACTCTTCTGTTACAGTTAGTTAATAACCAGGTGGTCTGTGGAGCTAAGGGAGGCTTGTTTCATATGATGGTCTCTGGAGATGTAAACTTATGTTGTTATGTAGGGCTGATAGGACAACTGTGGATTGAGGATCTGGTCTATAAAAAAGGGCTGTCTTAGGTGGCTGTGGCTTAGAGGAGTAGGGCGCTGGCCCCATATGCTGGAGATGGTGGGTTCAAACCCAGCCCTGGCCAAAAACTGCAAAAAAAAAAGGGGGGGGGGCTGTCTTGAAGGTAACTCTTCAGTGACTCTAGCCTTTGAGCTGCTAAGGCTACACTTGATGGATGGCAGAAGGAGAATCACATATGAAATTCCTTGAATAAAAATGTATTAATTTTGCCTAATGCCATAATAAAAGAAACTTCTTACACCAAAAAAAAAAAGAGAGAGAAATATTTTCTCTTTTTTTTCCTTAAGAAATATATTTTTTAAGAAACTTGGGCTTGCTAAATACTAGTGAAATTCCTAGTGGATAAAAATTTCTGGTGAAAAAAACTCTTGGCCAGGAATGGCGGTGCCTATAGTCCTAGCTACTCTGGAGGCTGAGGAAGGAGGACCTTTGAGTACAGGAGTTTGAGGTCACAGTGAGCTATGATGAAGCCACTGCACTTTAACTCACCCAGGACCCAGGGCAATGGAGTGAGACTCTGTCTTTAAAAAAAAAAACACACAACAATAGGGCAGTGCCTGTGGCTCAGTGAGTAGGGCGCTGGCTCCATATAGTGAGGGTGGTAGGTTGAAACCTGGCCCTGGCTCGGCTCCTGTGGCTCAAGTGGCTAAGGCGCCAGCCATATACACCTAAGGTGGCAGGTTCAAATCCAGCCCCCAGGCTGCTAAACAACAGTGATGGCTGCAACCAAAAAATAGCTGGGCATTGTGGCGGACGCCTGTGGTCCCAGCTACTTGGGAGGCAGAGGCAGGAGACTTGCTTGAGCCCAGGAGTTGGCGGTTGCTGTGAGCTATGATGCTACAGCACTCTACCCAGGGGGATAGCTTGAGGCTCCATCTCAAAAAAAAGAAAAAAAAAAAAAAAGAAACCTGGCCCTGGCCAAACTGCAACAAAAAAATAGCTGGGCATTGTGGAGGGCACCTATAGTTCCAGCTATTCGGGAGGCTGAGGCAAGAGAATTGCCTAAGCCCACGAGCTGAAGGTTGCTGTGAGCTGTGACGCTACAGCACTCTACTGATGGCAATAAAATGAAACTCTGCCTCTAAAAAAAAAATAAAAAAACAAGAAAACAAAACTCTTAGGTGAGCTATTCTAATCTGCAGACTTTCCTACTGCATAACTTTCTGGATGATGTCATAAAAACTTCTTCCTGCATCTGGGACTTTTGCCAGCGGCTACATGTGGGAGCTTCCCGTTTTTGTTCTAAGTGAGTGATGTTTACTGGAAATGGAGGTCCACTAAGATCTCAGTTCAGATAGCTTTGTGGTAGCAGGAAGAATGATTGTGAGATGGATTTGGCCAAAACCCTTTACTTTCTCCTTTGTCATTATCTTGTTTTGATAGTTTGACTTATTTCTTAGGTTTGCTTTGATATTTCATCTTGTGAGAAATTTAGGAGGAAAAACATGGGCTGTCTTATTTCTCTTCCATCTACTTTTCTTCTCCCTGCCAAGACCCCCAAGTTAGACCCTTTCTCCCTGTTTCTCCTCATGCATCTGCGTGCTTTCAGAATAAATATATAGAAGGTGTAATCGTCAAATTTATAGCTAACTTGAAGTTGGAGCTATGTTAAGTACTTGGATAACATAATAAAAATCAATTAGGTTGAATCTAAAAGGATGAAATTTAAAAGTGATTAATATGAGGTCTAAGGAATTAAATACACTGGTAAAAATCAGTTATACAGTACTTGCTTTAGTAGTGGTAAAACCCTTAACCCAAATTGAATCAGAAGTGTAGCGTGTTTGCCAGAAAAACAAACTAAGATTTTAGACTGTATCCATGCAGTGGTAAATGTTTAACAACTGGCTCTCTGGGGTGGGGATTGGGACTTGATTTATAGCACTTGCCAGTTTTGGTACTGTAAATCTTCCCACTATGGCCAATTTCAAGGCACCAATTTGATGTCACTGAAACTCAGAGTTTGGAAGAGACATGCACTAACACCTTTATGTGGTATTTCTACACATAGGTGTGAATAAACTCAAGGAAAGAGATAATAATAAAAGGTAGCAAAATTATTAGGAAGTGATGAGTTTTAAGTATTGGTTTTTATTTTATTTTATTTCATTTTTATGAGACAGAATCTTACTCTATCACCCTGAGTAGAATGCAGTGGTGTTATCATAGCTTACTGCAACCTCAAACTCCTGTCCTCAAGCAATCCTCGTGCCTCGACCTCTCAGAGTGCTAGAATTATAAGCATGCACCCCTGAACCAGGCCAATTGTTTTTAATATAATATATTTGATTATAAACTTAAGTAACTTAACTTTTAATTAGGACTACATTTAACAACAGGTTTAGGAAATTCTTGAAAACTTAACCAACGGTTCTTGTAAGTTTATATGCCTATAATCCTAGCACTTTAGCAGGACAAGGTAGAAAGATAGCTTGAGCTCAGGGGTTTGAGACCAGCCTGAGCTAGAAGGAGACCCCATCTCTACAAATAAATAGAAAATCAGGCAGATGTGGTGGCACAGGCCTAAGTCCCAGCTTTTCAGGAGGCTGAAGC